TGCGGCCCCGGGTGGGGGGGCCCCCCCCCGCCGCCTCGCTTGCGCGGGTCCCGGGGGTGACGGGGGCCCGCAGCCGGCCTGGGTGGGCCGGCGCAGGGCCCCTCCGCCTGCCACCGCCTGGTTCGGCGCGGGTCCCGGGCTAGCCATCACATTTTTAAGGTACTGAATTGCTATTCTCATTAGTAATTTTTAGATCTACCAGTAATGAGGAAAACCAGACTATTTCACAGGAATTTGAGACTTTTGTTTGGATGGCCATCCTGTGAGTACCCTACCCTTTCGGCTAACATAAAGGAGATGGTATTAAAAATAAGTTAGGAAAGATTTATTCGAGTCTGTTGAAAGATCCACAAGTATTGTACCATCCTGCTGTTTGTGCTTCTACCGGGGCCAGCTGTTAATTCTTTATTATCTGTCTACCAAGACTCTACTGCTCTGTTGTCCCATCCAGGCTGAGATTCTATCCGGAGGTCTGATATCCCTTTCTCAGGCCCCTGAGGTCATCTGTCAGTTGGCCCCTTCCCTACCAGCAGCTTGGCTGTGCCCGGGACTGGTGAGGGCCAGCAGCAGCGTGGCTTTGCCTAAGCTCTCCCAGCCTGGCCTCCTTACCCTGCAGGTAGACATTGGTCTTTCAACAAAGACAGCCCACACAACTTGGAATGAGTACACCTTCATCACAAAGGAGGAGGCCTATAGTCCTCGGGGTACCATCCAGTGACACACCTCTTTTTCCAAGAGGTCAGCACGATGGCCTATACTGTGAAAGTGGTTTTCAGCATGAAGGGACTCATGCTGTTCCCAGTGCTAGAAAACCTCTAGAGTAGTCAGATGGTGGTTACCCTCCACCTTCAGCACTCCCTACGTCTCCGTCGTCCAGGGTCAGGTCACCGGGATCTTCCTGTGACCCTCTCAGCAAAGGGCATGGAACAGCTGAAGTCACGTGTGTGCTGAGATAACTGACTCCTTCACTCCTGGCATGCTGCAGTTGATTGTTCTGAAGGCCTGCTGGTCTCATCTGCTGAGGGAAGATTACAGAATGTTATTCTTTAGAAGAAAACCCTTATCCCTATTGCTTACGTATTGCATTTTGGCCGATTTACTCATTTATTATTTTGTTCCTGTTATAATTATAGGTATATAACTGATTTGCTCTGTTTTTCTGAAGAAGTCTCTAAAAACTCAGCAAAATGGTTTTTGCCATTTATTTCTTATAATTGAAATGCATTTTATTCACATACAATTCTCTAGCTCTCGAGTTATGTAAGCAAGGGCTTTCACTCAGTTCAATGGCATGCTGCTTACATTTGTTGACCACATGTCTTCTGTATTGAAGACACTGAAGAGGAAACTTTTTTATCTTGAAAAACTTACACATTTGGTGCAATACAATTGTAATGTGACTAAGACAGAAAACAGTAACACTTTGGGGTTCTCTCTCTTCTTATTTTCAGGGTGCTGGTTGCACAGCCCTGGTGGTAGCTGTAGTGGCGAGGAAACTAGAACTTACCAAAGCAGAAAAACATGTGCACAATTTCATGATGGATACTCAGCTGACTAAAAGAGTAAGTTACTGCCCACACATCTTCAAAAGGTATATTTTTGTATATTTTCCATGTTGAAAAATATGAAGCTATTCAGTTATAGAAAACGTCGTGACACATTTTTGCATAGAAAAACATAGAAAGGGTATGTCAAGACTTTTCCGACAGTCCAATAAGATGAGGTAGTTTGACAGTTGAAGCATTCTGGGATTCAGTTCCATTTGTTCACTTTGAAGGAAGACTTCCTTACTTGAGGTTGGGTAGGAAATAATTGGACACCTTGGTTTTTGTTGAGGAAGCCAACAGACTTCCATCCTTCCCTAGAGACATTCTGTCAGTGGAAATAGGAGTTTTATGAGAAGGTGATTGAACAAATGTTTTATTTAATTTTTATGAGCAAGTCACTATTCTAAGACAGAGATTGAAAAGACAAATAACAAATAGCCACTGACTTCTACAAGCCCAGGGTAGGGGTAGAGGCAGGTCCTTTCTGTGACTTGAAGGCCTTCAGAAAGATGTTGAAAGTGGTATAGGATGCACATGGGCGATTTCTGTCCAGTTACTAGAAGTGCGAGGAAATAGCAACCTCCATGTTCACAGAGTGCTCGCCCTGGGCCAGCATTGCTCCACATGTGGCACAGCTGTAAACTTGCTTCATCCTCACAGCAACGTTATGAGGAAAGTGCTATTATTTTACCTATCTTATCAATATGGAAATGAGCCAGCCACCAGCATGGTGGTTAAGGTGGCTGGATCCCACATGACCAACTGCAGGTTCAAGTCCCAGACTGGGTGGCTTGAAAAATGTCTTGGGCATGTGTGGATGTGTGCCCAAAGTCCCAAGAGGAGAATGGAGGAGAAATACTTAACAATGTGGCCATCCCTTCCGGGGAGTGCCTTCTCTCTCTCTCTCTCTCACTGGTAAGTGCATGTGCCCTATAGCATGTTTTAACAAACAAATAAATAAATAATAAATGTGGAAACCAAGACACAGAGAGGTTGCATAAGTTGCTGAAAGTCATCATACCAAGAGAAAGAAGTGTATGAGGAAAGACTTTATTATGCTAAATTTTTAGCTTTTCTTGATAATTACTTGGGGTACCAAAATACCAAACTCAAAAATAACTAAAATTCTGTTATAGCAGCGTCTTCCTGCTAACCACTGCCCAAAGTGGGATCCAATCAGGCAGTGATGGAAATAGCAAAATGAATTGTCATTCGGTAGCTTTACCCATAAAAAGATATTTCAAGCACAGTTTGAACTTTCTGTTTTTGGTTGTATAAATAAAAGTAATCTTATTTAATTTGGTAAATAAGTTTTAATAGATCCATTGTTTCAACGCAAATGTTTATACAGAGTATATTTAGGAAATGGAAACATAAATTCTAGCTGCCTTGCTAATGGCAGTGGGATTTCTTTTTTCTTTTCTTTTCTTTTTTTTTTTTTTTGAAGAGGTTTTCACTATAGGGCACGTGCGCTCACCAGACAGACAAATAGAGTCAGAGAGACAGAAAGTGAGAAATCACCCCCCAGGGGGGATGGCCATGGTATAATCCCTTCTCCTCCATTCTCCTCTCAGGATCTTGGGCACGCACGCACACGTGCCCGGTATGAGTTTCAAGTCACCGGGTCCGGCACGCGAACCGCAGTCGACTACGTGGGAGTCCAACGACATAACCATTATGCTAACTGCTGGTCCCGGCAGTGAGATTTCTAAGCCTTTCCTATGAGACACTAATGGGAGACTTCATTGCAGTTAGTAGGTCCACATTTATACAAGGTGATCAAAGCCTCTCTATTCAGATTCCACATTTTGGCCTGGATTTACCACTTTGAAATGTCTCCTACTCTCTATAGTTTCCACTTATTTTCTTCCAGCTCTTGATTTCATTCTCTAGAGTTCTAAATAGGAGAGTGAAGGGAGAAAGGTAAATGAGGATCTCAGTGAAGGATTGGGTTACTTTTTGTTTTCAAAAATCAACTAGGAGATGAAAATACGTAGGAGATTATTAGCTCAGCTCTGATTCCGAAGTTGCAATAGGTGTTTGTGTATTTCAGTCTGTGCTCATTTGGCCCTTCTGCATTCCGTAAGACACAGTTGATGTTTAAGAGTCACAGGGTTTACGATATCAAAAGATACTTTTGGGACCAGCAGATGGCAGAGTGTTCTGTTCTGTTCCACGTAGTCGAACTGTGATTCAAGTCCCAGACCAGGTGGCTTAAAACTCACGCCAGCTGCATGTGCATGCATGCCCCAAATCCTGAGAGTAGAATGGAGGAGAAGGGATTGTGGTGTGGCCATCCTCCCTGGGAGGTGAATTCTCATTTTCTGTTTCTCTGTCTTTCCAGTGAACACATGCCCTATAGCAAAAATCTATCTTAAAAAAAAGAAAAAGATACTTTTATTAAGTATTATCTGATTTATACAATTTTATTGTAAAGAGTGTACTCTTTCCTCAGCAGTTAATGCCATTTAAACTATTAGGCAGAAAAATACCTTAGAATAGCATATAGCCCATACGTTTGCCTTTAAATCTCATCAGAAAAAATACTGGGACAGAATCATAATGAACAAAGTGAAGTTGGGATGTTTGGGTAGATTGCCCTGTGTTTCATAGGCAAGATTTTAGTTTTTAAAAGGAAGTTTGTCATTTCTTTAACTGTTACTATGGAAGATTGATACAGCATATCTTTTTCTTTAAGAGAGAGATTTTTGCTATAGTGCACGTGTGCTTGCAGGAGAGACAAAAAGAGACAAAAAGACAGAAAGTGAGAAATCACCCCTCTTGGGGGATGGCCACGCCACAATCCCTTCTCCTCCATTTTCCTCTCAGGACTTTGGGCATGCATGCACATGTGCCTGGCTTGAGTTGTAAGCCACCAGGTCTGGGACTGGAACCACAGTCAGCTATGTGGGAGTCCAGCGATATAGCCATTACAGCATCTTCAGGTCTCCCCATACTGTGTATCTGACTTATTGAAACACTTCAAGAGTTGGAAAGGAAAGGGATTTGAGTACAAGAGCTAGAGACCTACACTGCACCTGCTACCTTTGGTGAAGACGTACTGTGTGATTCACAGGTGTCCACCAGTTTCATGTGGTTTGGCTTCATAATGTAGTTACTTTGGTCCAAGGTCTCCCACCCTTGGCATCAGTGACTTTTTCAGCTGACAGTCCTCTCTACATGGGACTGTCCTGTGCACTTGGATGTTTGTTATCATACTTGGATTCTATTTGCTAGGTGCCAGTAGGACTGGCCACTTGTGACAACCAGAAATCCCTCTAAATGCTCTCTAATGTTTCCTAAAGGGAAAGATCACCTGCAATTGAGAACTACTGCTTTAACTTCTTATCCCATGAAGGATTTGACATCTTGAAAGAGAAGAGACTGGGATAATACCTCTAACCAGATGTTCTTTGAATCTACGGAATCTATGTAATTCCCCTCTTCTCTGGAATACCTATAGTCACGTAACAAAAATATACCGTGTGCCTAGTATAATTAGAGTTCTGTGTTAAATGCCAAAGACAAAAGGCTGAAATGGCATATTGTAGGACTCAAGAATTTCAGCTTTTTATAACACTGGCCACTCGGAAATCAGGTCAGAGCTCTGATACTTCCTACTTGGCAGACAAGTATACTTGTGCTCTCGCTTAAGTCACACACGGGCTCCTGTAGAGGATTATTGAATGGAGTCTAGATCTATGGTTCTAGACTTTCATTTTTTCTTGTTTTATTTATTTATTTATTATTATGTTTTTCTTTTTCTTAAGAGAGAGTTTTACTGTAGGGTGCATTTGCTGGCTGGAGAGACAGAGAGAGAGAGAGAGAGAGCAAGACAAAAGCGAGAAATCACCTCCCAGGGAGATGGCCACACCACATTCTCCTCTGAGATTTTGGGCATGCATGCACACATGCACAGTCTGAGTTATAAGCCACTGAGTCTGGGACTCGAACCACGCTCAACTACATGGGAGTCCAGTGACATAACCATTTCGCCATCTGCTGGTCCCGTTTGTTTTGATTTGCCACAGGGCATGTACACTTGCTGGAGAGAGACAGAGAGAGAGTGTAAATGAGAATTCATCCCCTAGGAGGGATGGCCACACCACAATCCCTTCTCCTCCACTCTCCTCTCAGAATTTTGGGCACACAAGCACAAACACCCAGTGCAAATTTGAATCCGCCAGGTCTAGGACTCAGACAGCCCAGTCAGCCTTGTGGGATCCCGTCACCTTTAACCTCCATGCCATCTACTGGCCCCCTTCCTTTAGTTTTTACAAATAGGAATCATTTCTCCTAACTTACCAAATTTTTTGACCATATAGCTCGTTGGTGAGAAGTCCCTGTATGCTTTCGGGAAACTTGTACAGGCAATATTACATGAAGAGTCAGGTTGCTTGGGAACCAGCAGTTAGCGTAATGGCTATGTCGCTGGACTCCCACGTAGTCGACCACAGTTCGCGTCCCAGACCTGGTGGCTTAAAACTCATGCCGGACGCATGTGCGTGCGTGCCCAAGATCCCAAGAGGAGAATGGAGGAGAAGGGATTGCAGCGTGACCATCCTCCCTGGTGGGTGATTTCTCTCTTTCTGTCTCTATGTTTCTCACTCTCTCTCTCTGGCGAGCACACGTGCCGTATAGCTAAAAAAACCTCTCCAAAAAAAAAAAAAAGAGTCAGGTTGCTTGTAGACTGTTCTTTGAGCAAGGAGAACTGCTCTAGTTTCAAAATTCACATTCTGCACGAGGCTTCCCCTGCTATATTAGGTTTATGTCATTAGTGCTTTTTTTTTTTTTTTTTTTAGAGAGAGTTTTTTGCTATAGGTTTAGAGAGAGATTTTTGCTATAGGGTGCGTGTGCTTGCCAGAGAAACAGAAAGGAAGAAATCACCCCCCAGGGGCGATGTATGTATGCTTGCCAGAGAGAGACAAAGAGAGAGAGAAAATGAGACCCCCTAGTGGGGATGGCCATGCCACAATGCCTTCTCCTCCATTCTCCTCATGGGATTTTGGGCACAC